CCTGACACAGTATGTAGATAGGCCAACAGGAGGCGAGGCCACATTGGATTTGGTACTGGGTGATGAACCAGGCCAGGTGTTAGATTTGGAGGTAGGTGAGCACTTTGGTGATAGTGACCACAATTCGGTTACGTTTACTTTAGTGATGGAAAGGGATAGGTATATACCGCAGGGCAAGAGTTATAGCTGGGGGAAAGGCAATTATGAGGCGATTAGGCAAAATTTAGGATGCATAGGATGGAGAAGGAAACTGCAGGGCCTGGGCACAATTGAAATGTGGAGCTTTTTCAAGCAACAGCTACTGCGTGTCCTTCAGAAGTATGTACCTGTCAGGCAGGGAGGAAGTGGTCGAGGAAGGGAACCGTGGTTTACTAAAGAAGTTGAATCTCTTGTCAAGAGGAAGAGGGAGGCTTATGTAGAGATGAGGCGTGAAGGCTCAGTTAGGGTGCTTGAGAGTTACAAGTTAGCCAGGAAGGACCTAAAGAGAGAGCTAAGAAGAGCCAGGAGGGGACATGAGAAGTCTTTAGCAGGAAGGATCAAGGAAAACCCTAAAGCTTTCTATAGGTATGTCAGGAATAAAAGAATGACTAGAGTAAGATTAGGGCCAGTCAAGGATAGTAGTGGGAAGTTGTGCGTGGAGTCCAAAGAGATAGGAGAGGCGCTAAATGAATATTTTTCGTCAGTATTCACACAGGAAAAAGACAATGTTGTCGAGGAGAATACTGAGATACAGGCTATTAGACTAGACGGGATTGAGGTTCATAAGGAGGAGGTGTTAGCAATTCTGGAAAGTGTGAAAATAGATAAGTCCCCTGGGCCGGATGGGATTTATCCTAGGATTCTCTGGGAAGCTAGAGAGGAGATTGCAGAGCCTTTAGCTTTGATCTTTATGTCGTCATTGTCTACAGGAATAGTGCCAGAAAACTGGAGGATAGCAAATGTTGTCCCCTTGTTCAAGAAGGGGAGTAGAGACAACCCTGGTAATTATAGACCAGTGAGCCTTACTTCAGTTGTGGGTAAGGTGTTGGAAAGGATTATAAGAGATCGGATTTATAATCATCTAGAAAGGAATAATTTGATTAGGGATCGTCAACACGGTTTTGTGAAGGGTAGGTCGTGCCTCACAAACCTTATTGAGTTCTTTGAGAAGGTGACCAAACAGGTGGATGAGGGTAAAGCGGTTGATGTGGTGTATATGGATTTCACTAAAGCGTTTGATAAGGTTCCCCATGGTTGGCTATTGCAGAAAATATGGAGGCATGGGATTGAGGGTGATTTAGCAGTTTGGATCAGAAATTGGCTCGCTGTAAGAAGACAGAGGGTGGTGGTTGATGGGAAATGTTCATCCTGGAGTTCAGTTACTAGTGGTGTACTGCACGGATCTGTTTTGGGGCCACTGCTGTTTGTCATTTTTATAAATGACCTGGATGAGGGTGTAGAAGGATGGGTTAGTAAATTTGCGGATGACACTAAAGTCGGTGGAGTTGTGGATAGTGCGGAAGGATGTTACAGAGGGACATAGATAAGCTGCAGAGTTGGGCTGAGAGGTGGCAAATGGAGTTTAATGCGGAAAAGTGTGAGGTGATTAACTTTGGAAGGAGTAACAGGAATACAGAGTACTGGGCTAATGGTAAGATTCTTGGTAGTGTGGATGAGCAGAGAGATCTCTGTGTCCATGTGCATAGATCCCTGAAAGTTGCCACCCAGGTTGATAGGGTTGTTAAGAAGGCGTACGGTGTGTTAGGTTTTATTGGTAGAGGGATTGAGTTTTGGAGCCATGAGGTCATGTTGCAGCTGTACAAAACTCTGGTGCAGCCGCACTTGCAGTATTGCGTACAGTTCTGGTCGCCGCATTATAGGAAGGATGTGGAAGCATTGGAAAGGGTGTTCAGGAGATTTACCAGGATGTTGCCTGGTATGGAGGGAAGGTCGTATGAGGAAAGGCTGAGGGACTTGAGGCTGTTTTCGTTAGAGAGAAGAAGGTTAAGAGGTGACTTAATAGAGACATGCAAGATGATCAGAGGATTAGATCGGGTGGACAGCGAGAGCCTTTTTCCTCGGATGGTGATGGCTAGCACGAGGGGACGTAGCTTTAGATTGAGGAGTGATAGATATAGGTCAGATGTCAGAGGTAGGTTCTTTACTCAGAGTAGTAAGGGCGTGGAATGCCCTGCCTGCAAAATTAGTAGATTCGCCAACTTTAAGGGCATTTAAATGGTCATTGGATAAACATATGGATGATAATGGAATAGCGTAGGTTAGCTGGGCTTCAGATTGGTTTCACAGGTCGGCGCAACATCGAGGGCCGAAGGGCCTGTACTGCGCTGTAATGTTCTATGTTCTAACACCAGTTAGAGAATATTCTTTGGATGTGCTCGGAAATTAAGGATTGTTGAATATATATCTTAAAGCGCTTACCATTTGTCTTTTTTAAATATTTGTTATTTAAATGATTTTTCAAATGTAAATTTATACCTCCAGATTAATGCAGTTTTTTAAATCACTGTGATCTCTGCAAAGCTTGTGAACATTTCACAATAAAGTTGTGTACAAAAGTTTGAGATGTTACCAGCATGCACAAGGGGGAAAAGAAGCAATGACAATCGGGCAATCATTGCTCGGTTTATTCATTTGATTCTGCTACCAAATGACTACATTCCACAGGAGTCTCATCACTAGTACTGGAGAGTTACTACAAAAGTCAACTGAAAATGTTTGTGTGTGCTGGTGTGATTAGCTTTATCTCTTGAATAAAGTCTTTACAGGTGCAATACAAAATGGCATACTCTGTAGGTGAATTCATCAAACCATTCAGTAGTTATTGAATACTGCATTTGAGTTAGAGTTTTTGTTTCATTATCAGGTTTCAACTTGATAGTTTCATCTTGCGTATAGTCTACTTATTTGACAAGCTAATTAGTCTTGTTACTTTTTATTTCTCTAAATATAATGATGAAAACTTTGGTTTACAGCTTTGTAAATATGACGCAACACCTTTAAGAAGGTACTGATTACTGAATATTAGAAAGAATCACAGTCACTAGGCCTGAGAAGTGTACAGTCCCAAACTGACCGCACGTTACTTTGCGTAGCATTAAGCATTTGATTCCCCCTGCCAAAAGAGTTCACAATTGAAGATTGAATTAAGATGCAACTCTTATTTTGAATGCTTCTTATATAGTGAATATTATTTCAAGTACAACTTTCGCTAATTTGCATGACAGTTTAATGCTTAATATCTACATGTCACCATGAAAAGTATGAAATTTAGCTTAGTGATGATACTCCCATTCTAGAAAATGATGGTTTCTTAACAGCTTTAAAAAGAATGGCTCACATTTATGTAGCAACTTCCACAGCCTCTGGACATCTCAAACAGAAATATGATCATAATCAGATAATCCATTTTTATAATACTTGAGGGATAAATATTGGCCAGGACACCAGTGATCCTTCCTGCTGTTCTTTGACAGTGCATCTTGGGATCTTCTATGCCCACTTAATGGGGCAGATGCACCCATGGCCTAACATGTTGTCCTCAGTGCATGTATTTAGCATTCCCTCAGTTCTGCACTGCTATGTTAGTCTAAACTTTTGAGCTCAAATTCACGTGTGGTGCCAGACTAAATATAAAGTCATTCGGACTCTATGTTAACTTCTGTCTCCACTGATGCTGACAGACCTGCTGAGTTTCTCCAACTTTTGCTGTTTGTTTTAGATTCCCAGCATCTGCAGTATTTTGCTTTTATTCAAACAAGTATATATGTTTTGCCTAGATATTGGAGCTAGAACTGCTGTTTCTTCTATGCACATTAATGACTTGGACTTAGGTGTTACATGATTTCAAAAGTTGTAGATGATAAAAGTTTGAAATGTAAAGAGCTGTGAGATTGATGAAAAGTTGAGGAGGATGTAGACTGGTGGAATGAGGGAAAATGTGTCAGATGAAATTTAATGTATTTAAGAGTGAGCTGATGTATTTTGGTAGGAAGGGCTAGGAGAGACAATATAAAGAGGTTGCAGGAACATCAAGACCTGAGCACACATCACAGATGGTCGGGGAGATTGTGGAAAGTACTTCAAAAGGCATTCAGCCTGGACGTTACATTTTAAGGTGCAGAGCTAAAAAGCATGTATGTTACTCTGAAACACTGGTTCAAATTCAGCTGTGCAGATCATTCCTCGCATGGTGGTGTCTGGCACACATGCAGATGCGTTCCAGTGGCTTGTCATGGCCAGCTGACATCACAGGCAGCAACAGTACATGCATGAGGACCGTTTTGGTGTTCTGTGTAATCAATCCAGTGTGCTGAAAATAAGTTGAAACTCCGCGTGGAAGGCTTTTAATGTAATAAAAGGTAGATTAATGCCTGTTTACTGCACTATAATATCTCAAGTTCAGATAAAGTTCAGATTTGAATAGTGAATTGATCTTTTCAATCAATGGTGTAGCACAATATGAATTGCAAATGCCTGACCTGGTCCTGTTCGTGCTAATGAACATGCATACTGTTATCAATTTTTTGGAATGATTTTCAGAACCGCAATTAACTAGATAATGAAAATTAATTTTAAACTTGAAGGTGCCTATTGTACCCAGGAATTATTATCCATTCAACATTGTTATATTTGCATCTTCTGGGCACTGCCAAGATATATTTAATAGATGGTAAAGTGCAGTGTCATGTTAAGGAGGGCTTAAAGACCCATAGTGACTAATATCCAAATCAAATAATATGAATTAGAAGGTTTAGACTTTTTCCAGTTTATCACTTTCCATGTTTCCTTGAAGGGTTAGTAATATTTCCTTTTATAATTACGTTATGAGTGTTTTTGTCTTATATTCCTGCATGTTATATTTGTTTTAATGGCCTTTTTCTAGTAGACTAGCTGTGATAGTCAAAATCCATTATCATCATTGAATATGTTGGTCAAATATTATTATTTTAAGTAGAAAGAAAAGCCATAATCCCAAATATAATATGCTTCTTCAAAAATAGGACATGCACTAAAACCACAAGTGGCCTCAATTTTTACTTCATTTTTGGATGGACTGAAGAAATTTTACATTACTAAGGTACGTTCAGTTTTTTAGTTTTTTTTAAGCATGAGTATTGAAGTCGTATAAATCATCATACTGCTTCTGTCAAAATTGTTATGATATTGTAAATTGCATTCATGAAGAGCAGTTTATGGCGAGTCAGGGTGCCAGCTTTTATCCATAGTTGACCATGTTGAAAGGAAATGATGTGATTTCAATCTATATTGTATCTTTACCTGATTCACCAAAAAAATCCCTTCTTTGAATACACTGGCCCAGGTTTGTATTGATATGGTTTACATGGACTTCCAAAAGATACTTGATATAATGGCACACAACAGACCTGAGCAAAATTCGAATTAGTGGAATAAAAGGTGCAGGAGCAACACAAATACAAAATTGGCAGACTGACAGGAAGCACAATTGTTTTCAGATTGAAGTAAGGTTTACAGTGGCATATTCCAGGGATAGGTATTGGGACCACTCTGACTTCTGATATGTCAATGATTTGGCATTTGGCATAATTTTAAAATTTCACTTTCATAAATGATACAACACTTGGGTGTACTATGAACAATGAGAATAGTGTAGAATTCCAAAAGTACATTAAGTTGGTGGTGTGGCAAGTGGCATATTAAATTTATTGTGGAAAAATGTGAAGTGATTCACTTTGATAGAAAGAGTACAGGAAGACCAGATAAATGGAAGTGTGAGGTTCTAAAGGGGTGAAGGAGTAGAACATCTTAGGTGAACTTGTGTGTAAATTATTGAACGTCCTAGAACAGGTTGACAGCATGGTTCATCAAGCATACACATCACGGACCTCTCCTTTTATCAGTGCCACAAATAACAATGTGTATGGTGTATTTGGATTTTCAGAAGGCTTTTGAGAAGGTCCGACAGTGGATACCAGTAAATAAAACTAGAGCACATGGGATTGCGGACATATGCTAGTAAGGATTGAGAATTGGTTAACTTACAGAAAGTAGAGTAAGAATAAACAGATCATCTCAGGTTGCAGGCTCTTACAAGGGGCCCAAGAATAAGTGCTTGATCCACAGCTGTTCACTGTATATAAATAAATGATTTGGGTGTGTGGTTCAGTTAGTTATAGTATTTCCAAGTTTTCTGATGACATCAAGCTAGATGAGAACTCAAGATGTGAGGAGGACGCAAGGAGGCTTCAAAATGAATTGCACAGGTTAAGTGAATGGACTAGAACATTGAAGATGGAATATCAAGTGAATTAAGTGAGAAATTATTCACTTTGACTTTTTAAAAAAAAAAGCTGAATTTTTTCTCATGGTGAGAGATTGGGTAGTGGGAATGTCCAAAAGAATGTGGGCAATCCTTGTTCCTGAGTCACTAAAAGTAAAGATGCAGGTGTAGCATGTAGTGCAAAACCTAACTGGAATCGCCAAGGATTTTGAGTTCAGGAGTCACGATGTCTGGCTGCAGCTGTATAACACCTTGATAAAACTTCACCTGGAGTATTGCATATAGTTTTGGTCCCCTTAGCTAAGGAGACATGTACCTGCCACAGAGTGAGTGCAATGGAGGTTCCTCAGATAAATCCCTGGGATAGCAGGATTGTCTGATTAGGAGAGATTGCAGAGACTGGGGTCTGTATTCCTGGGGTTGCAAAGAAGGAAGGGTGATAACGTTGAAACTTACAAAATTCTTCGTGGGAGACAGTTTGGATATAGATAAGATGTTTCCCCTGGTTGGGGGTCATAACCAGAGGACACAGATCTCAGGATAAAGAATAGGTAATTTGAGACCGAGATGAGGAAGAATCTCTTTACTCAGAGGTTGGTGAATCTTTGAAATCCTCTGCCCCATAGAGCTGTGGAAGCTCAGTCATTGAGCACGTTGAAGACAGAAACCACTAAATTTCTGGAGACTACGAACACCAAAGAATATAAGGCCATAATACAGGCAGGCAGAAGTGGCTCTTCAGCCTATTGAGTCTGTTCCACCATTCAGAGATCGTGGCTGATCTGGTAATCCTCAGATCTATCAGTTTCAGCTTTTGCCCAAGAAAGCCAATTTTTAATTTTACAGATTTTTGTAAACTCGGCAATTTCATAAATGGCTTTTATCTGTCCAATTGAAAAGCCAAGACAAAATCAGATTAAATTCAGCTAGCCGTCGCTTGTAAATCCCTCTTCAGTTTTTATAACTTTAAACACTGTATCCTAATCAAAGCAGCCTTAACCTAGTTGAGCAAAGCCTCAAATACTACAAATAAAATGCGTACTTTCCAAACAGTTATTTTGACTTCTAAATATGAGTGAATCCATTTTAAGTGTATTCAGAAGAGTAAATGAAAAATGATTGTTCAACAGCAATGTTTTTCTGCTAAAGATGCTGAATCCTTTTAAAGCTGTAAACTGTAACTATAAACTACCAGAAGTAAACAATACAAATTATTCAGATTTTAATTAATATTTTTCTAGAAGTTTTTGGTTTACAAGATGTATAATCATATCCAGCAGATGAAACTGAGAGCCTGAGATTCTATCTATCATCAGGATCTGTAACCTTGCAAATCCCTTCTGAGTTTTGACTCGAATGCATAATTCCCTTTGTCACCATCCCTGGGTTTAAAATCCTGCATCTTCCATCCTAACAGTACTTTTGGTGTAACTACGTGACTCAAGCTGCAGCGGTTCAAGAAGGTGGCTCACCACCGTCATCTTATAGGCTACAGGGAATGGCCAAAAACTACTGGTCATTCAAGTAGCACCCACATGCCCACAAACTGATGAGAAAGAAATCCAACGCCAGACTGATAAAAGGGGTGAAACTGGGCAAACAGTTCAAAGTAGCTGGTTGTGTTACTATATTTCATGTATAGTTTCTAACATCTTCAGCATGATGGAGAAACTCCGAGGGTAATATCTTGGCATTTCTATCGTATTACTCGTAATCCAAAATTATCCTGTTGACAAAAAAAAACTGCTTTGCAGGGAAGGATTAATGAAGTTTGTATGTCTAGAAGGTTTAGAAAGGAAAAGGTTTTCCCAGCATATAGTGGCAGCATTTTTTTATTTAAAGCTCAAGAACAGAAGTTTCACTAGTTCAATTGAGTTGAAACCACTCTGAGAATTCCTAACCTGAACTACATAAACTTGCTTCCAGCTCTGACTGACATCTACCTGACAATGTGGAAAATTGTCCAGCTATGTCCTGTACCCAAAAAGCAGGACAGATCCAACCCGGCCAATTACCGCATCATCAGTTTCCCCTTGATCATCATTAAAGTGATGAAAGGTGTCATCAACTGTGCTATCTAGCAGCACCTGCTCAGCAATAACCTATTCAGTGAATTGAATTGAATTAGCTTTATTCTCTCACATACTCAATTGCTGTGAAAAATTTACAAGTCACCACTTATGGCACCATCTTAGGTACAAAGTACCTAGGATTTTTCCCCACAGATTCTTCACATCAAGTTCTTAGGTGAAACAAAATTAGAAAAATTAAGAAATAAAAAGTCCAGCATTACAGATCATAGGAATAAGTTGGAAAAAATAGAGAAATAAAAAATTGAGATCAAGTCTTCCAACCTAGTCCATGCCAGCACCTTCTCTCGAGGCTGGAGGTGCACGCTAGGCCATGCCAGGCCGCGAGACTGTCATGCTGGGCCAGGAGGATGCCGGGCCAGGAGGATGCCATGCCAGGCCACCGAGAGATCACCATGCTGGGTCGAGAGGGTGCTGCACTGGGTCAGTGCTGAAGCCAGGAGTTCAGGATATTGCCAAGAAGAAAGAGAAGGAAGATAAACACACAAGAGAAAAAAGAAACAGACGAGCTCCGGCTTAAGCATCCTACTCCACCACCATCTTAGAAGTGACGCCCATTTTGGCTTCCACCAGGACTACTCAGCTCCTAACTTCATTACAGCCTTGGTTCAAACATGGAGAAAGAGCTGAATTCCAGAGGTGAGGTGAGAATGACAGCCGTTGACATCAAAGCTATATTTGACTGAATATGGTATTAAGGAGCCCTACAAAAACTGGAATCAATGGGAATTGGGGCAAACTTTCTGATTGTTATCATACCTTGCGCATAGGAAGATGGTTGTGATTGTTGGAAGTCAGTCATCTCAGTTCTAGAACATCACTGCAGGTGTTCCTCGGGGCAGTGTCCTAGGCCCAACCATCTTCAGCTGCTTCATCAATGACTTTCCCTCCAACATAAGGTCAGAAGTGGGGATGTTTGCTGGTGACTGCACAATGTTCAGCACCATTTGCGACTTGTTGGATACTAAAGAAATCCATGTTTAGATGCAACAAGACCTGGACAATATCCGGGTTTGGACTGACAATGTTACTTGCCACTTCATGCTGCACAAATGCCAGGCAATGACCATCTCCAGTAAGAGACGATCTAACCACCACGTCATGACGTTCAATGGCGTTACCATGACTGAATCCCTTGTTACTAACATCCTGTGGGTTACCATTGTTCAGTTGAATTTCTGGTCAATACAGCGGCACAAGAGCAAGTCAGAGGTTAAGAATACTGCAGTGGGTGACTCTCCACCTGACTCTCCAAAGACTGTTCACAATCAACAAGGCACATCTCGGGTGTGTGATGGAGTATTGCCCTCTTGCCTGGATTCATGGAGCGCCAACAACACCATCCAGGACGTAGCAGCACACTTGATTGGCACTACATCCACAAGTATCCACTCTGTTTGCCACCAATGCTCAGTAGCAACAGTGTGTATTATCTACAAGAGGCACTGCAGAAATTCACCAAAACTCCTTAGACTGCACCTTTCAAACCTACAGCCACTTCTATTTAGAAGGAACAAAAACAGATATTGTTGGAAAAGCTCCACAAGTCTGGCTGTGGAGAGAAATCAAAGTTAATGTTTCGGGTCTGGTGACCCTTCCTCAGAACTCATGTTAGCTATGAAAATGTTGGTTTATATGCAGAAGATAGGGTGAAGGGAGGGGGTAAGGAGTAATCGATAGGTGAGGATAGACTGCAAAGAGAGAGAAGAACAGTTGGGCAAACAAAGGAGTGCATAACGATCTGGCTAGGAGGGTGAATAGCTATTAATGGGTACTGTTGGTGGCGAACGATGGATTGTGTGTAATAGCAGACTATGTGAAAACGAGGCCTGGGGAGTGGGGTAGGCGCAAGGATATGGGAGAGTTCAAGCTCTACAGTTATTGAACTTGATATGGAGTCCAGAAGGCTGCAGGTTCCCCAAGTGGAAAATGAGGTGTTTTTCCAGCTTGCGCTGAGCTTTGTTGGAGCACTGCAGCAAGCCTGAGACAGCGAGAATGGCTGGGAAACAGGATGGTGTGTTGAAGTGGCAGGCAACTGGAAGCTCAGAGCAGCAGAAATGAATGGAAAGGGTGAGAACTACTATACCACAGTCTTGATTTTAGAGAGCATGAAGCCAAGATTCCTTGAAGTGATGTGATATGGATTAAGCTTCAGGTCGGCAAAAAAAGGGATGTTGCCGGGACTCATGGGACTGAGTTAAAGAGAGAGGTTGGAAAGCTAGGACTTTGCTCTTTAGAGTGTAGAAGACTGAGGGGATATCTTATAGAAGAGTATAAGATCGTGAGAAGCATGGAAAGGGTGAGTGCACTCAGTCGCCTTTTCCCAGGGTTGGGAAATCAAGGACTACAGGGCGTCAGTTTAAAGTAAGGGGGGAAAGAATACATGGGAACCTGAGGGGCAACTTTTTTTAAATAGATGGTGGTACGCATATGGAATGAGCTGCCAGTGGAAGTGGTTGAGGCGGGTACATTAATAACACTTAAAAGGCATTTGGACGAATACATGGCTAGGAAAGGTTTAGAAGGATATGGGCCAAATGCAGGGAAAAGGGGGATAGCATAGATGGACATTTTGGTAGGCATGGACCAGTTTGGGCCAAAAGGTCTGACTTGGTGCTGTAGGACTCTGTGACCCTCTGATTCTAAACCCTCTAACCCTGGCAACATTCTTGTAAACCTTTTCTGATCCCTTTCAAGTCCCACAGCATCTTTCCTGTAGCAGGGAGACCAGAATTGAACACACTATTCCAAAAGTGGCCTAACTACTGTACAACTTGTCACAACATGACCTTGCAATTCCTATACTCAGTGCACTGACCAATAAAGGCAAGTGTACCAAACGTTGTCTTCACTACACAAAATGTAGAGCTGGAGGAACTCAGCACGCCAGGCAGCATCAGAGGAACAGGAAAGTTGATGTTTTGGGTCGGGACCCTTCTTCAGAAAAATATATTTTGTGAAGAAGGATCCTGACCCGAAATGTCAACTTTCTTGTTCCCCTGATGCTGCCTGGTCTGCTGTGTTCATCCAGCTCTGCGCTTTGTTATCTCTGACTGCAGTTCTTGCTCTCTCTGCTGCCTTCGCTATCCCGTTTACCTGCAATTCCACTTTCAAGGAGCTACAAACCTGCACTGCAGGGTCTTTGTTCAGCAACACTCCCAGGACCTTACTATTAAGTGTATAAGTCCTGTCCTGACTTGCACTACCAAAATACAACGCCTCGTACTTATTGAAATTATACTCCATCTGCCACCCCTCGGCCCATTTGCTCATCTGATCATGATCCCAGGGTACTGTGCTTTGCACATGTGTAATATGTATTGCCGGTAGTATGTCGAAATGTGTTTAGAAGAAGGATATCAGCGATAGTGTGTTGTATTTTTTATAGGTTTCATGATCTTGGTCTAATAATTCAAAACACTTTTTTTTCATTACCTTGGTGTGTGTACTCAGTATGTTGTACTATTTGATTTCTTATTTTGATCCCTGCTCTCTGGGCAGATCAAGTTCTATCTTTTGTCTGTGAGAGGTTATTTAAGTTCAGTTGAGTGGTTAATTCTTAAATTGGTTTCTCTGTTTGCATTGTTACTCATGATTGACATTGACATTGTAAAGTCCCTGCTACATACTGCTACAATTTGTGTGTGAAGTTGAAAGGCGATTAGAAGGGGAAGTGTGTAGAGTTAAACTATGTAGGGTGCGGGGAAAAGTGACTGGAAACTAAGCAAAGTTTTCTGCACAGTATTGTTTTAAGAATGTGTGCAATTAACAGCAATATAACCATAACATACAAATTATACACTTAAAATATTGTTATGGTTCTATTTAGGTAAAAGAAATCAATTATGGCTGAAGGTGGTCCAAACTTGAAAATATTGGGTGAACAATGTAATTATGGACTGTATATTTGACTTGTTCCTAATTCCCAAGAAGTGAGGTATATTCGATATGATCTCTGTTGACCACCAACCCTTCCTGCTGCCCCCCCCGCCCCCATCAAAAAAAATGGTCAGCAAATTGGCTTTTGTTCATGTTTATAACACCTTATGCTTTTTTTTTATATGTTCATTTTTGTGGGATGTGGGCATTGCTGGCTGGCCAGCCTTTCTTGCTTATCCCTCATTGCCCTTGAGAAGGTGGTGATGAGCTGCCTTTTTGAACCACTGCCGTCCTCCTGCTGTGGGCTGACCCACAATGCTATTAGGGAGGGAATTCCAGGTTTTTGACCTAGTGACGGTGAAGGAGCAGTGATATATTTCCAAGTCAGGATGGTGAGGAACTTGGAGGTGATGGTGTTCCCATATATCTGCTGCCCTTGTCCTTCTGGATGGAACTGGTTGTGGGTTTGGAAGGTGTTATCTGAGGATCTTTGGTGAATTTCTGCAGTGCATCTTCTAAATAGTACACACTGCTGCTAATGAGCATCGGTGGTGGAGGGAGTGAATGCTTGTAGATGAAGTGCCAGTCAAGCGGGCTGCTTTGTCCTGGATGGTGTCAAGCTGCTTGAGTGTTGGGGCTGCACTCATCCAGGCAAGTGGAGAGTATTCCATCACACTCCTGACTTCTGCCTTGTAGATTGTGGACAGGCTTTGAGGAGTCAGGAGGTGAGTTACCTGCCGCAGTATTCCCAGCTTCTGGTCTACTCTTGTAGCCACTCTGTTAATGTAGTGAGTTCATTTGAGTTTCTGGTCAATGGTAACCCCCAGGATGTTGATAGTGGGGGATTCAGTGATGGTAACACCATTAAATATCAAAGGGCGGTGGTTAGATTGTCTCTTATTGGTGATGGTCATAGCCCGGCATTTGTATGGCGTGAATGTCACTGCCACTTGTCAGCCCAAGCCTGGATATTGTCCAGATCTTGTTACATATGAACATGGACTGCTTCGGTATCTGAGGAGTCATGAATGGTGCTGAACATTGTACAATCATCGGCGAACATTCTCAATTCTGGCCTTACGATGGAGAGAAGGTCTAGTCCATGGAATAATCTTCCTGACTGTAATTAAATTGCAACATGCTTAATTCTAAGCAGTGATATTCTCTTGAAGTAGGTTCCAAGGTGTGTCTTTGAAACTTCACACTGGGAGGTTTGATTTTAAACACTTTAAAGGAATTGGGAAGATATTTGTCTTTCCTCAAAGTGCCATTGGAACCTGATGGTTATTCTAAGCCGCATTTGACTAAACTATTCAAGTGTAAACATTTAAAATGTCTCTGGTTTGAGATGCAATATCCTCACACCTTCAAGTTCTATTTAATATTCTCATACTTTTATTTCCACAGTTCAAGGGATTTGATCCCAATGAGTTATGCGTAGCTACCCTACTTTTTGAAGGTAGCAGAGAAAAGGTTCTTCAACAGGAAAAGCATGTTTATGATATTGCTGCTAAAGTTGGGTAAGACTTGAAAAAAAATCTACACTATATAGTGAGTTACAAAGATGACTTTTCTAATTCCAATTGCTTAAGTTATAGTTAGACATTCCTACCAGTAAGACATTAAAATCCTAATATAATGGTTAGCATCAATGTAAAGTTGTCATTGTTTGTGATCTTTAGATAGAGAATAAAATGTAACTGTGTGCAAGCTGTCCACCATCACTCCATTAGGGATTTCTACAATGCATTTTTAAAGCATTTTGGTCCTGAATATTTTGATTTTTGTGATTTTAAACAAAGTAATGGGAGCAGGAGTATGCCATAAGTCACCTTGAGCCTGCTCATTGATCCAGCAGGTCGTGGCTGATCTAATGTTCAACGTGACTGCATTTTCCGGCTTCTTCCCTGTAACGAATTTCGCGATGGTTTGAGAGTCTGTGTCGGCCTTAAATATATGTTCAACGGCCTAGCCTCCAGCTTTCAGGATAGAGAAGTCCAAAAATTCACTACTTTTGAAGAAAAAGACCCTCCTTATCTCTATCTTAAATAGGTGCTCATCGCCACATCATTTCAAAACTCAACTTAGTGAACCTTCTCCACACACCTCTGCCATATGTTTATCTCTCCTTATGTAGGGGCCAAAACTGTACATAGTACTCTTGAGTGTAGCATCATTAAGGCCCTATATAGATAAGAATTCCCTACGTTGATATTCCATGTCCTTTGCATTAAAAGCAAACTAACTGTTTGCCTTCCTAATTAGTTGCTGTGCCTGCATGTTTACTTTGTCATTTGTGAATGTGGACATCCAAATACCTCTAACTAAATCATTCTGTAGCCTCAAAATACAAATAATATTTGGTTTTTCTATTCCTATAAATTTTTAAATTTATACTTTGCCAGCATTTCCTAATTTCTTTAGCACTCATTTTGCCAACTTTGTGCCCTTCCCACAACTTCCTTTCTCTCCCACCTTTATATTGACAGCAAATTTGGCTGCAGTACATTTGATCCCATCATTCAGGTCATGAAAGTGGATTGTAAATAATTGACATTCCAGAACTGATCCCTATGTTACAGCTTATCATGAGAAAATGACCCATTTGTTCCTACACTGTTTTCTAAGATCTTTCCTTTCTTTTGACCAACTACGAAATTACACAATGTATGCTTTTTCTTCAATCTGAATCCATCTTTAACTTCCTTAGTTAACCAAGCATTATTCATCCTTCTTTAGAGGCTTTCTTTTTTACTCAAATGTATCTTTGAAAATTACACTGTTTTATGATACTTACCCAGTTCTCGGTCGGTGCTGATATATTATCCCTGCCATTATGATTTATTTTTGTCCAGCAGTAACTTATGTGGTATCTTATCAAGTGTCTTGGAAATCCAAATACACTACATCTGGTTCCTATTTATCCACCCTGCTGCTTGCATCCTCAGAGAATCCTAATATATTTCCAATCGATTCAATCAAGCAGAATTAACATGGTTTTAAATGATATTATCTGAATATCCTGCTTCTGTGTCCTGTCTGATGGATTCCAGCATTTTTCCAATGATGGGCTAACCGACCTAGAGCTTCCTGCTTTTGATCTCCCTTCTTTCTTCAGTAGGGGTGTTGCATTTGCTTTTCCAATCCACCTCTTTCCAGAATGTAGAACTTCTGGCTGATTACGGCAATGGATCTACCATCTCTTAGGTTCCTTTAAGACATGACCAGACCTTCAGGTCTAAGGGATGTGTCGACCTTGAGTTTATTCAATCTGCCATGTATTTTTCTCTCATTATAATGATCGTTTCTCTTTTGCCACTCCTTAAAATTATTATTTGTATGTTTTTAGTTTCTTTTTCTGTGGTGCAAAATATAAAACATTTGTTCAGTCTCCGCATTCTCTTATAACCCATTATTAATTCACCAGTCTTGTCCTCTGAGGGGCCAGTATTTTACTTTGTTACATTTTTTTATTTACCTGTAGAATCTCTTAATTTCTTGTTTTTCTATTTCTTTCTAGTTTACTCTATTTCCTCCCGTGCATTGTTTAGTTGTTCTTAGCTTTCTAAGATCTTTCCGTTTTTTTGACCAACTGTGAAATTTCACTATGTATGCTTTTTCTTCCATCTGAATCAATCTTTAACTTCCTTAGTTAACCAAGGGTTATTCATCCTTCTTCAGAGGCTTTCTTTTTTTACTGAAATGTATCTTTGAGAGTGATGAATTATTGTCTTAAATGCCTGTCCAAACGTATCTGCCATATTACCTAATCATCCATTCTTTCCGTCCATCTTTATACTTTGTTATTTCAGATTAAGGCAATAGTTTTAAACTCCAGTTTCTCACCCTCAAACTGAATGCAAAATTCACCATGTTATGATCATTGTTCCCTAGAGGGTCTTTTACTAATAGGTCATCAGTTAATCTTGTCTCATTACATGGTACCAGATGTAAAATAGCATGCCTCCCATGTTTGTTCCACGACGTACAGTTCTAAGAAACTGTCCTGAATGGTTCTGGGAACCCATCCTCTACGATATCTTCAATGAATTGATTCTTCAATCTAAACGAAGATTAATGTTACTATGTCTATCCCAGTGGGTTTTCTTTAACAAGCACCCCATTATGTCTTGATTTATGTACTGTAGTGTAGCTACTTCTGGATGGCCTGTAGACAAGCTCTCACCAGTGCCGTCTTTCCCTTGCCTTTCTGTATCTTCACCCAAAATAGTTTTCTTTTAAGCTGAGGTGATTTATCACTATTGCTCTGACCTTGTCCTTTATTGTCAGAGCAACTCCACCTCCTTGTCCATTTTAACTATTCTTCCAAAATGTCATGCATTTCTTAATAGTTTAGATCCTAGTCTTGGTGACCTTGCAGCCACATCGCTCTTATTACAAGCAATCTTAAATATCAACTTATCTTGTTATGAATATTACTGCAGTCAGTTAAAACTCCTTTATTTCTGTGTTCTTACCCTTCTGTCCTCCAATTACATTTGCTGGCACATTTATCCTTGTGTATTATTTCTTACCCTGTCATATCCTGGTTATCTGCACTATTCTTTGTCCTTTCTCTTGAATTTTCTATATTCTTACCTCACCTAAACATATAAAATCCCTGCCTTGCCCACACCCATTATGCAGTGTAATGCTTATCTGCTGATTTTATTTAATTCACCAGGATGCTGGTTGCAGCAAGGTGAACATAAAACCCATCCCATCAGAAGATCTCTCCTTTTCTTTCTCAATATTGGTGCCGGGCCCCATGAATTAAAACCAATTTCTCCTCTAACAAATTTCCAGTCATACATTTACTCTTTTGACCTTTGCTCATGGCTTAGTTGGTGTTCTAGTGATTACTTACTTTATGATGTTGCTTTCTAACTTAACCCATAGCTCTTACTCTCCCTCTGCATTTCCTCCCTCTAGGTTTTATACATGTCTTAAATACTCATATGGAATGAGACAAGTGGATTTTTTCCTCTTGCGAGTTCCTATCCAAACCCCAGAGAAAATGTTCTTCATCTGGTACCTGGCAGGCAACACAGACTTCATGCTTCACACTCTCTTGGCTGCATACCAATAGTTCCCTATTATTGTTACATTGCGTTTACTCCTGAAGCTTGAGTGGCCCTTGAACTACAGATGCTGTGGTCAGTTTGCTTATCCTTCTTGCAGTCTCACTGTTTTTCCCACAAGCTGCAAGAACCTCATATCTGTTAAGATGATGCGAACTGTGAGGTTACACTATTGCTACATCTTGGATCCCTATACTCGCCTCATGAGTAGTCAGATCTTTCATTGACCCAACCACAACCATATTTGAAGTATTTTAACCTATAGTGGTGCCTATTCCCTGGAATGAAGTGCCCAGGATACTTTCTGTCTCCTTGATGCATCAGTGTCTGAAGCTTAGGTGCCAGCTTATCAACTCTCAAACTCAAATTGCTTGAGCTGCTGCTGCTTAATGCAGATGCGGATGTGGTTGTGGTTGTGGTTAACACCTTGTTACTTGTTCCCATATGCAAGAGCAGCAGCATATACCCCTCCCAACTCTATTACTTTATACAAAATATCACTCTGTCAATTTGTTTTTGAACTTGATTTTAACCCTGTTTGATTACACATAGATGCTCTCAGTTTCCACTATAACGTAGCATCCAATCCTAATCTATTCCTTTTAGTTTAGGTTTATTATTTATATATCAAACAGCATTTCTTAACCCATTCCCACAAATTTTATTGAACTCTGGTGAAGTCTGTACTTCGGTGAAGCTACTCGGTGTTAATATTCTTATTAATTAATTTACTATTTCACTTAGCCCAATTGGGATTTTTAATTCCCTGGCAATGCGTAAGATTGCTACTCACTCTGTCCTTCCGTTCATTCTGGATGGTTGATAATTCTTGGTAGATGATGAAAGCTTACACAAAATATTTTTTCAGTTAACGAATGAGCATGAAAATTAGGTATGCATGTTTTTAAATGTAGAAGAAAAGAAAACCTGTAAATTCCAATTTTGTTCAGTCTCAAATTGTTGTGGATTATTGTGCATCAATTTTCATTTTTAAAGGTCTTCCAGTAGTTGTATTGTCAGCACACAAATGTTAATTGTGGAAAAACAGAAGTCAATGCATGTATTTTGACCTGCAGAAAGAGTGCTGATCACTGGCCCCCATTAAAATAGTAAACTTATCAAACATGCCAGTAAATAACATTTTGGATTTGTGTGAACTGTTGCTTTGTCTCCACTAAGGTGAATATTTTTGATAATAGAGGCCTGGCTGCTGGAGAAGATAATGGACAACGGGGCTACATGCTGACATTTGTTATTGCTTATATTCGGGTATGTTGCTCATGATGTATTAAATTTCTAATTTAGTAACTGGTATGCATTTTCCATCTTGCACGACATCTTGAAGAATTTGAGGGAAAATTGAAAATTTGTGCAGCTGAAAGTTGTAGACCTGATGAAAGCATTCAACACAAAACCATTAATAACACATTTCTAGACAACAATATTTAGCTGTCCCTGTTAATTTTAAACTTTTTTTTTACCTAATCTCAATCTTCTCAATTCTGTAACTATCATTTGTATTCAATGTAATGAAAAAGTTTAAATTTCTGTTGTAGCTAGCAGCTAATTTTTCATGATCTGGGGCAGCAGCGTGGTAATTTCTATTTGTGATCAAGTGATAATTTTATTTTAGATTGACATGAATGCTCTACATAGTGCCAAGACTGAGATTTAGTTTGGATTATTGGTTGAAACATTGATCATGGAAAAGTCAAATGCCACTCTTTCTACATGATACCAGGCTTACTGAGAGCTGATCACTGAAAGCAAAAGCATCTCACTTCCCTTACCAGAAGAATGTGTTCATTGGAAATGTGTGAGCAAGGTGTAGACTTCACTGTAAGGAACCCTGTCTTCATCTTTTCCTCAATTCAGAGGGCCAGTTAACATCATGCGTGTTATGCTGTGGTGCTGTGCTCTGTTACAGAGGTGAAAGATCGATTCTATGATAAACTTGGCACTACAATCAGCAGAATTCCTAGTCAGGACATCTTTACCTACTGGGAGGTTTCAGTTACACAATAGATATGGGTCAGGAGGCAAGGCCGCTCATGGTTTGTGCCAGAGCAAGGATGCAAACTTAAAGTTTTTTCATTCAAAGCACCAGTGCCATCCATGTATCAAGATCAGTTGCAGACTCCCTCAAGTATATAAAATGTTGGGTTTAAACATTACTTACATTATACTTAACTGGCCATTGGGTCAAGGCCACCTGGGTATTCATAACTCTACAAAAACACTTGCATGCAAGCAAGATATGACGAAGGCAGACATTGACACTGACAACTGAGAGATGGTGTGAATGCAGGAAGATGACTGTTTGGAAGGGCATTGGAAGAGGTAAGCAGAAACTGAAAGCTCAACCGACCCAAGAAGAGGACCCAGAGAAAAGTGTCCAACAAAGCATGCAACTTCTCAGCCATGTGCTTTCCCCTTCAAGGTCAGAGTGGGGCATCTGAGCCAAAACAGGCACTGCTTAGCATAAAGTTGGTGACTATGGTGCAAACCATTGTCATATTAGATGGAAGGTTGCCACTATTTTTATTTCTCACAGCAAATGGAATAGCATGCCTCATATTTTGATATTTTTTATTTATATTTTAGATTAAGATTACTGCTTATTGTAGGAAATAATCTTTTTAACATTGTACTACATATTTTTTAGGACTTGGGTATGGACTATTACATCATCGGAGAATCATTTGAAACATCTGTTCCTTGGGACCGGTAAAATAAATTCTCGTAAACAATTATTAAGAAACACGTTTTTTTATTCTGTACTGTAGCATTTATATCTGGATTAAATAGGTAATCTTCTCTATAGTTGTAATTTCTAGCTTGTGCACCTCTGCCATTGTTCGTTTTTTTTTTAATAAAACTTGCAACACCACAGACATCTTTTCATGTTGTAAACAGTCAGAAGTCACAGTAAAGTGTACTTCACCTGACGAAGGAGCAGCACTCCAAAAGCTTGTGAAGGTTTCACCACCAGGAAGGGTGGTGGGAGTTCAGATTATGTTTTAATTAATGGAAGCCGTTCTTGGAAATTGGGCTCTGTCCACAGTATTTTAAGCAATAAGTTGTGTAAATGGCTCAGTTCCCCAGTGACCTAAAGTAAGACCACATTCGGAAGACCATCAATCAAATTTAATTACCAAAGGTTGGTAAACTTAGATCCATGTATAGATGCTAATTGCAAGTTATCCATTTAGTATTTTTTCTTTAACATAGTAGTGAGTTCTGTTTTGGTTGGTGCCATCAAAAGTAATTTATTTTGTATCTTGTACATTTGTTGAAGCAATTATTTTTATTTAGACCTATATTTGGAAATATTCCAAGTTTTAATCTGACTCGGTTACTATCATTCTTGCTTGGGAGTCAGATGCCGTTTGGGTTTTAAACCTACAATGGACTTTAATATACTGTGTACTGACATTTCCATTCAATACTCAAATATTATTCCAGTGTTATGGTTCTAGTCTTCCGTATGAGATACCATTATTGGCTCAGGTGGACATAAAAACTCCTGTGGCACTACAGAGAATAGGGAGTGTTCTCTCAATCCCCCACCATTACTCTTTCCTTAAGCAACAAGTGATTTTTTTTTTTAATGCAAAGCTGTTATTTGTGGAACTTTGGCGTGTGTGCGCTAGTTGTCACATTTGCCTACATAACAATGACTGAACATCAAGATTATTTGGAGAATTTGCCAAGTGCTGTATAAATATAAAGATTTTGACGATGTCTGAGGGTGGAAAAAATCACTTCACCTTTCTCTTTAAATTTGATTTTTTTTGGTATTAGATGTAGGTCTTGACGCACATGGTCTGATAGATGCAATCTAATTTGGCTGACTTTCTCATGATCTGGAGAATTCCTAAAGTTTAATAATAGAATTCATGCCCTTTAAAATTGAATTGCCAATCTCTACTTGTATTTGCTGAAGTTATTTAGTTGAGATCTAGCAATCATATTTCTACAGTTGGTTTATAATAACATTGAAAAGTTGCGTTGTGGAACAAAAGTGGAAGTTTATGCAATATGAACTCATTGGCATCTAAAATGCGTTTAAGAACTTATTTAAGTGCACATCCTGACTAAATAACAGTAGGTTGACAACAAAAAGTAAGGTTAAATCTTTTTGCTAGCTGCCTTTTAAGGGAAGCAATGGTATGGTATTATTGCTGGACTGTTAATCCTGAGATTCAGGTAGTAGTTTGGGGGCCAGGGTTCAAATCTCTCTATGGAATTGAATTCAATAATTTTTAAAAAAAGTCTGCAATTAAAAGTCTAATAGTAATCGTGTGATTGTTGGGGAAAAATTGTTGATTGTTGATTCACCAATGATCTTTTCTTTTGGGAAGGAAACTGTTGACCTTCCCAGGTCTGGCCTACATGTGATTCCAGACCCTTGACTTATTTTGTTCTCTCAGCAGTTAGGGATAAGAAGTAAGTGATGGTTCAGTCAGCAATGGTCACATCCCATGAATGATCCCATGTCTAAACTATATAGAAAAGTACCCAAGTAAGCTTCTGTGCCCTAATTACACCTTACCCATAGTAGTGACTCAGTTTATGTCTTCAAGTTTCTTGGCTGTAAATTCCTGTGATCCAACTTTCTCCTGAAATTGCAACATGTTTGGCTAATACAAATATAAACTCAGAAAGTTGAATTTATTCAAGTTTGCATGACTGCATCCAATTATTCACTACTCTTTCACCCTACAAGACCTCAATCTTCAGTCCCTCTGTATACAATACAAGGCACCAAGTCGTAATCTTGATTATTCAGCATCGTGCAATCATGTGGATTGGCAAGGATGACAAATATATAATTAAAGAATGTAAAATATGTTGCTGAATTAGTTGAATGTAAAATTAATGCACATGGTGTACAATATTTTCATTTATAAAAAATTGCTCATTGCTGGTACTTTTCATATTTCAGTAAACAGCATTTAAACAGCTTTTAAGTTTTTAAACAGCATTGTATTAGCATGTGTTTTTAGCAGACAGACTATTTCCTACTGTAAATAGGCCCAACATTTTATTCTGAATGTTTTTTAGGGTGATTGATCTCTGCAGGAATGTGAAGGAGAAACTAGTGAGAGAATGTAAAGAAAGAGGTGTTCAATTTCCTCCCCTTGCTACATGCAGGTAAATGGTTTTTAAAATTTTGTTCTCAAAATGGTCAGTTCTTGTAATTTTTCATATTTAGGACAAAAAGGTCTACTATTTAGAATTATTTTACCTGTTGGCTGTGTGAATGTATCTTATTTTTTTCTGGGAATAACTTGCTGGCTAACACTTATGCAGTTGACCTTGCTGAACAATAAATTTTGAAATGCAATTATTAATCCTTGATAACTTATTTCTCAAGTACTTATTGGGCAGCTAGGCAATATATCTGTGCAAATCTTGATGGCAGAGAAGGAGAGACTGTTTCTCAATTTTTTTTTAGCTTAGTTCTGAACAGACATTTGTAGATTATTAGTTCAGAACAATTTATTCATTATCTTGCATTGAGAAACTGTTTTTGGAATAAAGGTTTACTTGGATGTATTTATTTTTAAGTTAGCCAATAAATAACTTAAGCACTCAAAGTATCTTTAATTCACAGTTCAGATGTAAGGAGCTCTCAGAACACAGGAGCAGAAGTAGGCTGCTGGTCCATCAAGTCTGTCCTTTTTGATAAAATGATGTCTAATGGTAGTCTCAGCTCCACTTGGCCACCTGCCACTCCCCGAAACCCCATCCTCCCACCCCCATAACCCTTGACTTCCACATCAATCAAAGATCTAACTCTGCCTTGAAAAAAATCTATTACCCACCTTCCAGTACTTTCTGGAGGTGAGATTTACACAGAAGAACCAAATTCCCAGAGATTTTTTTAAGAGGGAGACCGTTATTTTTAAATTCTGTTCTTTAGTTCTGGTCTCTCCCAGGTGTCTGTGGAGTTCTGTTCCAAGTCGAAACAGCATCGTTGACCTTAATGAACAAATCGAGTGCTGTGCCCACCTTTGAACAGAATAAAATGACTACCTGCATCTCCAGGGTGACTGTTAATGTTCTTTTTACTCCTGCTATCTCCATAGGTGACTAGGGAAAGCACATATTGAGCTTTTCTGAAGACTAATGATGTACTTTTATCATTATAATACTGTGTTGTAAGGTTAGTGCAGCCTTACTGCAGTACTTTATAAAAATGATAACCTCCATTCCAAGAGTAACTTTTGTAATACAGTGAGAGTATCAGAAGATGAGACAAATAGAAACCAGCAGTAGTCCTAAAAACTAGTGTCCCGAAACTAGCTGCTCCTGAGCCAAGCTGTTCCAATACAGGCCTTGTGGAAAATTGGCCAAGTGTATGGAAGCAGGGAAAATTTGATTTCTGTTTACAAAAGCAGGACAAATACAATCCAGCCAATTACTGACCAAGCAGTCCACCCTCAATCATTAGCAAAATGATGGAAATGGCCATGGACAGTGCTATCAAGTAGCACTTCCTCAGCAATAACCTGCTCCATTTAAGTTCTACCAGGGCCACTCAGTTCCTTCTTTCCTTTATAGCCTTGGTCCATATATGGGCAGAAGAACTGAACTCCAGAGCTGAGAGTATCTGCTCTTGATATCAGAGCAACATTTGAATGAGCATCTCGTAAAGAAGTCTCAGCAAAGCTGGAGTCAGTGGGAATGGAGTAGTGGGGGAAGCTGTTCTATGGTTCGGATCATAGCTAGCACAAATAGAAGATAGTTATTGTTGTTGAAGGTCACTCATCTCAGCCTTGAAATAACATTGCAGGAGTTTGTCAGATGGTGTCTAAGTCCACCATCTTTAGCTGCTTCTTTAAACACCTCCTTTCCCTTATTAGGTCAGAATTCAGGATGCTTGGTGGTGTTTGCACAAAGTTCAGCACCAGTCATGATTCCCCAGATACTGAAGTAATCCATGCAGCAAGACCTGGACAATGTCCAGATTTGGACTGATAAATGTGGCAAAAAACATTGGTGCCAAATAAATATCAAACAAAGGTCAACCCCATTAAGGGGGAATCTAGCCATCACCCCTTGACATTGAATGGTAAAACATTGTTGAATCCCTTGCTGTGAACATCCTGGAGGTAACCATTGACCAGAAACTCGACTGGAACAGCCATGTGAATACTATGGCTACAAGAACAAGTCAGAACCTAGGAACTCAGCAGTGAGTAACTTATCTCCTAACTCCCCAATGACTGCCCACATCTACAAAGACAAATCAGCAGTGTGATGGCAAACACGTCTTGCCTGGATAAGTGCAGCTCCAACAGCACTCTAGAAGCTCATCTTTATTTAAGACAAAGCAGTTTGCTTGATTGGCTTCCCATCCTCACTTTTTAACATTCACTCCTTTCACCACCAACACACAGTAGCAGAAGTGCTTACTGTCTACAAGATGCGCTGCATCTAGCACTTCAATCCAAACCCCCAAAAGCAGGTGGTTGGCATTGTTTGGTTTAAATACAGAAAAATCTGGAACAGGAATTCAACTGCTCAAACCTGGTTTTACTGAAATGGGACAAGGGATAGGTGACCAATTCGAACACGAAAGTGGCTTGGTCATTAACTGTTAAAATGAGGCAGCACATCTTCATTTTAATAGTCATTCTACAATCAAGCGTAGATCTATTCCTCTGGAAACATAGTATCTTAAAGGAGCAAGAAGGACAAAATCCATGAGATCAATGCCTTTAAGCACTGCTTTTGGGCGAAAAAGAACTCCAACATGCTACCCTGTCAACCTCAATCCCAGTTTACCTTGATCTGTCTTCTTTTCTACCCCCTCGCCATCCTTGCAATTCCTAGACCCTACCTAACTACATGTAATTCACTCCCCATAATCAGGCCTCCCTAGTTTACAATGGGATGACCCACTCTGCTGCCAGTATCTCTTGTGAACCCCCACCCCCACCAACTTTATTCAAAGGTCTGATGTACTCTCCTGAGCTTTGACCATGTGATACGGCTTCCTGTCTGAGAGGCCTCCAGCCTGTCATTTTAGCTGGCTGTCATGGAAACTCCCATGTAAAAATAAATACAGCAGTTAATCACAAACTCACTGATTCGGGTTTCACCTCACAGCACACATCTTGTGCAGAATCCAGGTTCAGGCTAAAATCCAGACAGTTGATTTCAATCAGTGCATTTGTACTAAAATTTATTCAATGTAAGAACTGTACAACAATGGACCATTGAGCAATTTAGTTGTGTAATTCTTAAACCTGTTTTTTTTTCTCTTCCAGAGTAACACAAACTTATGATGCTGGTGCCTGTGTCTATTTCTACTTTGCTTTTAATTACAGGGGTATAAGTGACCCAATTTCTGTGTTTGAGCAAATTGAGGTAATTTTGTCCAAGCACCCTTGGACCTTTTCTGTTGTTATTCCGAACATTACATTGCATTTAATTTTAACATAAAAAGTAAAATTTTATTTGAACATAATTTGAGTTACTGATAAAGTTCGACAAATTTGCTGATAACAGTAATGTGGTGATTGGTTGCTACTTTTTGCAACTGATCCATGTCTTTTCTCTGAACTTTCCAAAACACCTAATTACTTAAAAATGTGGTTAGAAATGGGTGTAGGGTTATGTGGGCTGCTGTCCTTGAACCTGTACTTGCCACAGAGTAGAATTAAAATACTCATTGACCCTCAAAACTAATCCCAATGGTTCCTAACCAAACGTTTTGAATAACTATTATCAGATGTTGTGAATAATCAATACTAGATACCGAGTTTAAAACTGAAACAAAAGACTTAACTAATTATCAAGATAGTATCTTTAGCAGAGCAAAGTTAAACAACAAGGTAATCTAATATTTAAACCCAATACCTTTAATTCTAATCCCTACTCTCTCAAAGAAAGACAGACAAACAGTCACAGTTAAGGGATAAGTCAAAAGGGAAAAATAAATGAGATATACCTGGCCGGTTCATTTAAACAGTCTCCATGATCCATAACATCACTGACATATGGGGATCTGACAACCCGATGCATGCAGATATCTCCCAGTGAGCTCTGAGGAATATTCATTTAATTCTTGTAATTGAGATTCTATTCTTCGAACTTGAATACATTGATAATGGGAGGCTAACCAGGGAGCAATTAAACTTCCATCCTGTAACTTTCAGAGGCACAATCCTTCTGATTTAAACACAGTTCAAAAATTAGTTCAAACTCTGGCCTCTCCCTGCCAGACTGACCATCTCTCGACAAGGTCCCAGTTAACATTCAGCATCTGCCATCTGCTTGATCATAAGGCCCTTCCAGAGTCAAAGCATCTAAAAGCATGTTTTAACATAAAACAACCTAACTTTCAGGCCTGACCTCATCAGCAAGTATTAGTTATTGGTTCACTTTCTTTTTTTTAAAAAAAAAAGCACATGCTGCTTCCCACAGTCCAAAGGTCACCTTCAGCTTTCAGCTAACAGTTCACAGGTCCAATCCAAAAATGATAAAAAGAATAAAATAATGAAAAATCAGCAAGGGTTCTGACACTATGAAGTTTACAATGCCTGTACAAAGTTCATGTTTTGGATCAAAATCTAATTATAGAAACAAACATGTTGATGGACACTGATAGACCGAGATGATTATATTAAATGAAGTTACTGTTGAACAATTGAAATGTTCTGCACTCCTGTTTGAAACTCCACTGAAGGAAGTAAGCTTCAGTAAACAAACAGTTGCCTGGTAATACATGACTTGAATATTGCTGAAAATAGATATTTGTAAAAGTTTTTGCCTTGCACTTGTAAGCATAAGAATTCCAAATTTCAAGGAACCACAATTTGTACTGCAGGAGAAGAGGGTGCTGATTATTTGGCAAGTCATCTCTTGCTGAGTTATTGCCATTGGAAAAAGATATATACTACTTTTGTTTGCAGAGAATGGGTCCCTGTGTCCAAGTGTATGTTGGTCCTAGCAATCGTAAATGAACCAAGTTATGAACTCTATCATAAATTGTTGTTATAGCTATTAACGCACTCGGAAGAATTGTTCAGCCAATCCTGCCAAACCACACAACCATATGTAAC